GTGGCCAACTCTTCGCCGATTCAAACAAATCGCTGATTCAATGCAATGAATGAGCACTTTATGCATACCTTTACAGCAATTACGACAAACTCTACAACAAAACACTTTATTGCAGTCAATATATTCACCGCAATTAAACACGTGGTAAATAAGCGATTAAAGTTGATTTACAAATGATACCCAAGCCATTACAATTGACCATGCTCATTGTGATCATAATACCGTAATGTTGAGCTGTATAAATAGAGGTGAATTAAAGCGATAATATAACGTGGTTTGCGTGTAATTGTGTTGACTGTAAACGTATTGTATGTTTATATGAATGAAAATATTAGTGCCATTGAAGGCATGCGTAATGTTTTCATTCATTTATTTATTACAAAATTATGACATTTTATACACAAAAATATTTAATTTAAATAATAATTAACTGAGAAATTAGTTAATACTTATGGAGAGTCCAAATATTTTACAGGTATTTATGGGTTAACTGTTAATGAATTGGTAGTGATTTTGGGGACATTTGATAGCGAATTGGCACTGATTTTGATAACAAATTGTTGCTTAGATTTCAGGCACTCATTTACAGACATACGAAGACCTCTATAAACAGGTATTCAATTGAATCCATGGCTTCTTCACGCCATTGTCGCCATCGATGGCACAACTAATCTCACTGTTGCTCTTCACTCTCACCACAGGTGGACCCGACGGCCAGTAATTACATCAAAGCCATCGACGCCGCAAACTTTCTCAAGAAGTCAGGTCTCACTCAATCCACTCTCGGAAAGGTTTGCACCACTTTTTCACGTCATCCGTGTCTTCAGACCTATGTTTACATTGAAATACATCTGTTTTGTCAAAATTACATTTATTTATATTTATTGTTTTGCATTCAATATTATTTCAATACAAGTGTTTCGTTAATATTCATCAGTAATTGTTGTCTACATTGCGATGAAATGAGTGTTGAAGTGTTGAGACATTTTTTAATTATTATTTTGTTTGACACAAAATGATGTGAATTAATGAGTGATTAACACGTTTTGTATGCCAACAGATTTGGGATTTAAGTGATCCGAACTGTAATGGATTCCTGGATAAGAGGGCACTGTTTGTGGCACTAAAACTGATAGCATTAGTACAAAACGGAAGACAACCAGCGATACAAGCGTTGACTCTCGATATACATCTCACTGTTGCTCTTCACTCTCACCACAGGTGGACCCGACGGCCAGTAATTACATCAAAGCCATCGACGCCGCAAACTTTCTCAAGAAGTCAGGTCTCACTCAATCCACTCTCGGAAAGGTTTGCATCACTTTTTCACGTCATCCGTGTCTTCAGACCTATGTTTACATTGAAATACATCTGTTTTGTCAAAATTACATTCATTTCTATTTACTGTTTTGCATTCAATATGATTTCAATACAAGTGTTTTGTTAATATTGAGCAGTAATTGTTGTCTACATTGCGATGAAATGAGTGTTGAAGTGTTGAGACATTTTTATTTTGTTTGACACAAAATGATGTGAATTAATGAGTGATTAACACGTTTTGTATGCCAACAGATATGGGATTTAAGTGATCCGAACTGTAATGGATTCCTGGATAAGAGGGCACTGTTTGTGGCACTAAAACTGATAGCATTAGTACAAAACGGAAGACAACCAGCGATACAAGCGTTGACTCTCGATATACCGCCGCCTAAAATGGTATGCAATTTGTTTATTATTCGATGCATTCATTGATTACACTAATTGTGATTACAATGAAAGGGAGAACCAATCGATTGGTCTATTAGTCAAAGCGATGTCCAAAAATATAGCGATATATTTGAGACATTGAATCCATTGGACGGCAAACTGACGGGAAATAAGATGAAGCCTATTATGATGGACTCGAAACTGCCGGTCGATCTGTTGACCAAAATATGGGATTTAAGTGACACCGACGAAGACGGCTCACTTGATCTACAAGAGTTTACTTTGGTATTTGTCCACTCATTCACTCATAGTTTTATTATCACAATTGCTACTCAACCCCCTCCCCCCCCCCATCCTAAAGGATTCTATGTGGTAACTTAAGTTGATGGCTATATTGGGAATATTGATTTGCCATGAGCAAATGTTAATTCTATGCACAAATCCTAATCTTATGAGCTACATTTATAGACAGTGTTATTTTTTATAGGACTAATTCTATAGACTAATGTTAATCTTATATTAATATTAGCATCTCTAAGGGCAATGCTAATTTAATCGGGTAACATTAATCTTATAGACAGTGTATTCCGAATTAGGTTAACATGTAGGTTTAGTTAATAAGTTATTTACTGAAAGAATAATACAATTATTGTAATTTAATTGAAACATTATTGATATCTTAAGCGATATGTAAGACATGAGATAGTCTTAAATAAATGCATGATTTAATATGAAAATATAAGTTGTGTTGCATTTGATTTACTTCCCGACAAATAGCCATCAAATTAGAGAACACGTTATGAAACGTTGTTGTCATGTATTTACCGGAACGACATTTATAAGCGGATACTAAGCACTCAAATATTTGTATTTTGATTTTGTTGACTAATATTGATTGCATAATAATGATAAAAATGTTGTACTTATGATGACATTAATGTATTTGACAGGCAATGCATTTGATATCGAAAGCAAAAGCAAACGTTCCGATGCCTTCAGTACTGCCCATAGAATTAATAAATTATAAACGAAAAAATTCTCAGGAATCGTGGTCTGCGTTCGACAGCACACCTCAAATGATGGCCAACCAGTTATCACCTGTCAATCCGGACATTAGTTTTAAAAATGTAATTAACACTACATTTTCACTTCAAACTCAGAAAATGTGATTTAACTTTACTTACGATTGGCTCCAAAAGTCGTTTAATAAAACAGGTTTAATGACTTGGATTGTGAGCGCAGCCGATAAAGCGAAATACGATGAGTTGTTTCAAACACTGGACCTGGATTTCGATGGATACGTGACCGGCGCTGATATCAAGAATACTTTAGTTCAAAGCGGTCTTCCGAACAATATTCTCGCACACATTTGGTAACCATTTTGTTGTTTGACATTTCGTTTGATTGCTTAATATTGACAATCAATTAATCGATGCTTTGATTAATATTAGGAATTTATGTGATGTGAAAGAAAACGGCAAATTAAATACTGAACAATTTGCTCTCGCAATGTATTTTGTAACACAAAAGCAAATGGGATTAGAATTGCCTCAAAATCTAAGCCCTGATATGATTCCACCGACTCTACGGCCAAAACCCGTTGGAATCGATTCTATCAATGCCTTAGTATGT